TCCAGGAGCAAGTGTTCTCCAAGAGCCCAACGCAGCCGAGCTACCGCAGCTCCCTCGCTCTCCTCGACCTATCTATCTACCCGCTGCATCCCACCGAGCAAAGAGGAGAAGGGTAGCAAATCTATTACCGGTCGGTTTGTGTGCTCGAGGAGGACGAAGCTGGTAGCATGGCTTTCCTCAACATGGAGCAGCACACCTGGGCCTTCACCTTCGGTATCCTAGGTACTATTACATGCGTCCATCCATGGATCCGTCCTGCATTCTGTGTGCAAGTGCTTCTGTTTCTTCTGCCCTTTCGGAAAGGATCATCGATGATCCCGGCTTGCTTGCACGAGTTGGATGGATCCATGGTCCTTGCCTTGCTCAACACACCCTTTGGCCTGCTTGTGTGCCTTGCTCAATCTCTTTCGTTGAGCTGAGCTACCGTTTCTGTTCCGAATAAATGGACCTGCCAAACCAAGCTTTTAGCCTCTAATCAAGTGGTTACACCCCAGCAAAGAAACGGGGGCCAACATGCTTGTTGTGTGTACGTTCACGGAGACAAACAAACGTACACACAACTGATTTTCTTTCCTTGTTTCCTTTTTTTTACCAGACAGCATCCACCCTAGTTTTCTTGCTTTATTTATTCTCTCTTTTTTTTTTTGCGTTGGTTGACACATAACTGACCAGCTATCATCTCCGTTCTTGGTTTTGCAGGCAACATCATCTCACTTATGGTCTTCCTTTCACCGCTGTAAGCACCCTCAACTTTACTGTACTCTCCCGTTCAGTCTTCAGAAAAATATACTGTAACCCTGCATACATCTATGTACATCCATGCATGTCCCTTGTCATGTGTGTGTCTTTGTATATATTCAGACTAAAAAATATATTTAATAACTAGGAAAAGAGGACCACGGTACGTCGTACAACACACATGACACATGTCCACGAATACATGACTGATGGAAACGGTCACTGTCATCTACACTGTTCTAGAATTTTCGCTTATATACCTGGAGACAACATAACGCTGAATATTGCTACATTAATTACTAGTGTATATTACCAGTAGGGTAAAAAGTGACGAATGTCACTGTTAGGTAGGTGCGGTGCAGTGCAGTGTACTACACATATATATATATATCTCGGTTGTTAGTTAGTTTAGCTCCTCTGGTTACGCCAATGATTACTTACTTAATCTAGGTAGGCCCAAGTAAAAAAAGAACAATTCATATATGCTGGTGGATGCATGGTCATTATTAACTCTGACGAATCTCTGATGCAGCCCCACGTTCTACCGTGTGTACCGCAAGAAGTCGACGGAGGGGTTCCAGTCGACGCCCTACCTGGTGACGCTCTTCAGCTGCCTGCTGTGGATGTACTACGCCTTCCTCAAGTCCGGTTCCGAGCTCCTCCTCACCATCAACGCCGTCGGCTGCGTCATCGAGAGCCTCTACATCGCCATGTACCTCGTCTACGCCCCCAAGAGCGCCAGGCTCCTCACCGCCAAGCTCTTCATTGGCCTCGACGTCGGCCTCTTCGGCCTCATCGCCCTCGTCACCATGCTCGCGTCGCACGGCCCCCTCCGCGTCCAGGTCGTCGGCTGGATCTGCGTCGCCGTCGCGCTCGGCGTCTTCGCCGCTCCCTTGAGCATCATCGTAAGGACCCATTTTATCTTACGGCTAGATCTCTTTTAAGGTTTGTGGATTGAAGGGGTTAATTGATCTTGATTGTTTTCTTGCGTGCAGAGGCTTGTGATCCGTACCAAGAGCGTGGAGTTCATGCCCTTCTCGCTGTCCTTCTTCCTGGTCCTCAGCGCCGTCATCTGGTTCGCGTACGGCGCGCTCAAGAAGGACATCTTCGTGGCGATGCCCAACGTGCTGGGCTTCTTGTTCGGCGTGGCGCAGATGGCGCTCTACATGGCGTACCGCAACAAGAAGCCCGCCACCGTGGTGCTGGTGCACGAGGAGATGAAGCTGCCGGAGCACGTCAAGGAGGTGGCCGGCGGCGCCAAGCCGCAGGGCGGCGCGCCCACCGAGGGGAGGATCAGCTGCGGCGCCGAGGTGCACCCCATTGACGTTCTCCCGGCCGTGGCCGACATCGAGCAAGCCGCCGCAGCGGCCGACGAAGACGTGATCCGCGACGACCAGAACATGCTCAGGCCGGAGCAGCCGGCGGTCATCAAGCCTGACGTCGCCATTGTCGTCCAGGCCTAGATTAGGTTTATCAATCAGCCCCGTTATTAATTCAAGTAAGCCGGCGATAAGTGGGTACGCACAGCACACATGCGGGCCTTCCGGCGTGGCCGCGTACGTGGCTGGCCAGAAGCTGGAGCACTGTGTGGCTGCATCGGGTCCGCGCATGGCATGGCTGGCTGTGCATGCAGAGATCCAGCTTAGCTAGCCCGACCGACTGCATGCCATGTATGAAGGGAGACCAGGAGTGAGAGCGAGTGTGAGTGAGTGAGTGAGTGAGTGAGAGAGATGCATGCTACAGCAGCTTTGTACTGTATTATCAACCATTTTATCAGCCTGTCACATGCATTGGTTTCTTTTTAGTTTACTTTGTGTCATTGTCGATCCATGCATGCAGTCGCATAAATAAATTTGGGGCCCATATATATTATTATCTGGAGCAGAAACTCTAGCTAGCTTTGAAACAGTTCATGAGTGTGGTGTAAAGAAACCTTGGAAAGAAAGAGAGATGTCATAGTTAGGAGGAAGATATGGAGGTGAAAAATGCGTGAGTCATGGCCTCGATCGTCATCCTTGCGTTCCTCTAACCGCACAGGTAGCGTGCATGGTCAGGAACTATTAGAATGAAGGAAGCACAAGGGGCTAGCTGTGCGTGAAGATTCAACTATCTTCCAGGGTTTAATGATATCTTTGGCTCTTTGCCCCGAAAGAAGAAGCTGTAGCTAGCGGCTATGGTACGCGATCGACGACCTATGCGGAGTTACAGTACATGACAATGGCGATTCATCACATAATTCACCTTTTAGCCTTTTAGGTTCAGTCACTGTAAACCTAAAAGGTGTTTCTATTCCGGTATAACCTCAGCCGACACAGGTAGTCTGTCAAGACACTATTATTCTAGGTAATCGTGGTGTTAAGATTAGACGGTTCTTACTACGCTAAGAAAAACACCTTGAATTCTAGGTTGGTCATCAGTGTCTGACGAGAGATAACCTGCTTTTTATAAAATATATTCTTACAAATTACATCTGACTTTTTTTTTGCCAGAAAAAATACATCCAGATTCATATTAAGAATTAATTAGGACATCAAGGATGCATACAATTAAACTACCCCTCCGGCAAGGATGATCTCGAAATAGGCTTTCGCCCCCCTTTATAAATAAAGATACAAACAACCGAACGATACACGATGGTGAGGAAACCCTCATACAAGCAGGTAGGAATGAAACAAAAAAGGCCCAGGGCGAGTGCCACAAGTGCCACTAAACCCAACGCCAAGCATGAATAACAGGAGATGCCACCCCTAACACACTACAACCAAGACAACTGAAGAGAATTGGAGCCGCGCCGCCAAGAGAAACCACCGTGCCACGGGGATCCGAACACACCGAGCCATCTCTGGAGAGGGCGGACTCATCATCGAGACGCCCCCTCGCTCCGGGTCGTGGAACGCCGCTCCTGCCAAGAGACGGCAAGGACCAAGAACGGAGGCCACGAGGACACATCTAAATGATAGGCGGTCATCGACACCAGCCCTCGCCAGAGGCAAAGATGCACTATGCCAGTGGGAAGGCAAACCCGACGCCATAAGCCATTTGCAACCGAGAAGAACCGAGGGTCCACCAACGACGCCCTCAAGAGGGGGATGACACCGAGCGCCACCGACGTCAAGTCCAAGAGATGGACTAGGATTTTCACCCCGGACCCCTGCCACCTTGAGGGGACCCTTAACAACGCCCCCAAAAGGGAAGCGACACTCGTAGGTGCCGGCGTTGCCGGCGCTGGAGCGCAGAGCTTTTGCTCCGACCCACACAAGTGCCACCAGCGGACTCACGGTTGCCAACCCACCCCGAGAAGGGAAGTCACTGTTGGAAATATGCCCTAGAGGCAATAATAAATTAGTTATTATTATATTTCCTTTTTCATGATAATCGTTTATTATCCATGCTAGAATTGTATTGATAGGAAACTCAGATACATGTGTGGATACATAGACAACACCGTGTCCCTAATAAGCCTCTAGTTGACTAGCTCGTTGATCAATAGATGGTTACGGTTTCCTGACCATGGACATTGGATTTCGTTGATAGGGATCACATCATTAGGAGAATGATGTGATGGACAAGACCCAATCCTAAGCCTAGCACAAGATCGTGTAGTTCGTATGCTAAAGCTTTTCTAATGTCAAGTATCATTTCCTTAGACCATGAGATTGTGCAACTCCCGGATACCGTAGGAATGCTTTGGGTGTACCAAACGTCACAACGTAACTGGGTGGCTATAAAGGTGCACTACGGGTATCTCCAAAAGTGTCTGTTGGGTTGGCACGAATCGAGACTAGGATTTGTCACTCCGTGTAACGGAGAGGTATCTCTGGGCCCACTCGGTAGGACATCATCATAATGTGCACAATGTGACCAAGGAGTTGATCACGGGATGATGTGTTACGGAACGAGTAAAGAGACTTGCCGGTAACGAGATCGAACAAGGTATCGGGATACCGACGATCGAATCAAGGGCAAGTATCATACCGGTAGACAAAGGGAATTGTATACGGGATTGATTGAATCCTTGACATCGTGGTTCATCCGATGAGATCATCGTGGAACATGTGGGAGCCAACATGGGTATCCAGATCCCGTTGTTGGTTATTGACCAAAGAGGTGTCTCGGTCATGTCTGCATGATTCCCGAACCCGTAGGGTCTACACACTTAAGGTTCAATGACGCTAGGGTTATAGGGAAAGTATGTATGCGGTTACTGAATGTTGTTCAGAGTCTCGGATGAGATACCGGACGTCATGAGGAGTTCCGGAATGGTCCGGAGGTAAAGATTGATATATAGGAAGTGTGGATCTGGCCACCGGAAGTGTTCCGGGCATCACCGGTAATGTACCGGGAGCACCGGAAGGGTTCCGGGGTCCACCGGGAGGTGCCACCAGCCCCGGAGGCTTTCGTGGGCCAAGAGTGGGAAGGGACCAGCCCCTAGGTGGGCTGGGGCGCCTCCCACCAAGGCCCAAGGCGCCCTCAAGAGGAGAGGGGGCAAACCCTAGGGGCAGATGGGCCCTAAGGCCCACCCTAGGTGCGCCCCCCTCTCTCTCTCCCCCTCGGCCGCCACCCAGATGGGATCTGGGGGCTGCCACCACTCCTAGGGAGGGAACCCTAGGTGGGGGCGCAGCCCCTCCCCTCCCCCTATATATAGTGGAGGTTTTGGGCTGCCCAACACGCGAGTCTCTCTCTCCCAAGGCGCAACCCTACCTCTCCCCCTCCTCGTCTCTCGTAGTGCTTGGCGAAGCCCTGCAGGAGTACTGCGCTCCTCCACCACCACCACGCCATCATGCTGCTGCTGGACGGAGTCTTCCCCAACCTCTCCCTCTCTCCTTGCTGGATCAAGGCATGGGAGACGTCACCAGGCTGCACGTGTGTTGAACGCGGAGGCGCCGTTGTTCGGCGCTTAGATCGGAATCGACCGCAATCTGAATCGCCACGAGTACGACTACCTCATCCGCGTTCTTGCAACGCTTCTGCTTAGCGATCTACAAGGCTATGTAGATGCACTCCCCTTCCCTTCGTTGCTAGATTACTCCATAGATTGATCTTGGTGATGCGTAGAAAATTTTAAATTTCTGCTACGATCCCCAACAGTGGTATCAGAGCTAGGTCTATGCGTAGTTTCTATGCACGAGTAGAACACAAGTTGTTGTGGGTGTCGATTTTGTCAATTTACTTGCCGTTATTAGTCTTATCTTGATTCGGCGGCATCGTGGGATGAAGCGGCCCGGACCGACCTTACACGTACTCTTACGTGAGACAGGTTCCACCGACTAACATGCACTAGTTGCATAAGGTGGCTAGCGGGTGTCTGTCTCTCCCACTTTAGTCGGATCAGATTCGATGAAAAGGATCCTTATGAAGGGTAAATAGAAATTGGCATATCACGTTGTGGTTTTGGCGTAGGTAAGAAACGTTCTTGCTAAGAAACCTATAGCAGCCACGTAAAATTTGCAACAACAATTAGAGGACGTCTAACTTATTTTTGCAGCATATGCCGTGTGATGTGATATGGCCAAAAGGATGTGATGAATGATATATGTGATGTATGAGATTGATCATGTTCTTGTAATAGGAATCACAACTTGCAAGTCGATGAGTATGACAACTGGCAGGAGCCATAGGAGTTGTCTTAATTTATTTATGACCTGCGTGTCAACATCAACGTCATGTAATTACTTTACTTTATTGCTAACCATTAGCCGTAGTAGTAGAAGTAATAGTCGGCGAGACAACTTCACGAAGACACGATGATGGAGATCATGGTGTCATGTCGGTGACGATGATGATCATGGCGCCCCAAAGATGGAGATCAAAAGGAGCAAAATGATATTGGCCATATCATGTCACTATTTGATTGCATGTGATGTTTATCATGTTTTACATCTTATTTGCTTAGAACGACGGCAACTTAAATAAGATGATCCCTCACAATAATTTCAAGAAAGTGTTCCCCCTAACTGTGCACCATTGCGAAGGTTTGTTGTTTCGAAGCACCACGTGAAGATCGGGTGTGATAGATTCTAATGTTGGAATACAACAGGTGTAAGCCAGATTTACACACGCAATATGAGGGAGTCCTGGATTAGGGGGTGTCCGAATGGCCGGACTATACCTTCAGTCGGACTCCTGGACTATGAAGATACAAGATCGAAGACTTCGTCCCGTGTTCGGAAGGGACTTTCCTTGGCGTGGAAGGCAAGCTTGGCGATACGGATATGTAGATCTCCTACCATTGTAACCGACTTTGTGTAACCCTAACCCTCTCTGGTGTCTATATAAACCGGAGGGTTTTAGTCCGTAGGATAACATACACGATAACAATCATACCATAGGCTAGCTTCTAGGGTTTAGCCTCTCCGATCTCGTGGTAGATCTACTCTTGTACTACCCATATCATCAATATTAATCAAGCAGGACGTAGGGTTTTACCTCCATCGAGAGGGCCCGAACCTAGGTAAAACTTCGTGTCCCTTGCCTCCTATTACCATCCGGCCTAGACGCACAGTTCGGGACCCCCTACCCGAGATCCGCCGGTTTTGACACTGACATTGGTGCTTTCATTGAGAGTTCCTCTGTGTCATCGCCATCAGGAAGGATGCCTTGCCCCGTCTTTAAAGATGACACCGTTGCTAAGGGAGCTTTGGCTGTCGGCCAAACCCTCCGGCTAGGTGGTTTTCTTATGACTGCCTGTTCGGTTTCTGCGCCGATGATGACCTCTCGAGCCATCGAAAACAATCTTCATGTCAGCTCAGAACTCGCCGAGCAGTTAGATCCAGTGGAGCTCTCCTCCATAAACGAGCTCTTGGATCACATCGCCGCCTTGGGAGTCGCTACGGGTTACGACCAGATTGGGCATAAACCCGATCTGAGAGAGATTAACTCTCCCCAAGTCACCCATCCGGTTGCCGTGGTAGAGGTACAATGCGGCGACCCTTCATCTATCTTAAGGACTAGCTACGTCCGGATTCCCGATCCCTCCTAGCCGGATACCCGCGGAGGGGAGGATATCACTCAAGACCTGAACTTAGAGTCAGGCGACGGGCTGGATTCATTGGACAACATCCAGGAATCCAAATTTTCGAGTTTGGAAATTCCTCGACCTCTAAGCCTCAGATGGGGTGAGGCTTCGGATTTAATTCCGCCCACCCACACGAACATAAGCGATCTATCCCAAATCAGGCAAGAGCCCGATGAAACAGTACATCATTACTGGGCCAGATTCCTCCTGGTTAAGAACAGGATAAAGGACTGCCGCGAGGAAGACGCAATCTCAATCTTTTGCAATAATTGCACGGACAAGGGAATCCTCAACGCCATAAGTCGCCGTGATATCGCACGCTTCGCTGACTTGGCGTCCATCGTGCGAAAGTACTGTGCGATGGAAAGCGCCTGGAAAACCGAAATAAAATTTTGGGACGATCCGGCCCTGAATACAAACCCAGTCCGAAATAAAAGGGCGCATCATCGCTAGACACCCGGGTCAAACACCAAAAAGCAAAAACCCTCTACAGGGCATGGAACCGCACTGGAAGGATGGCTTAATGGACCCTGTAAAATTCATAGTACAGAGGACGCACACCAACTGACAGCCTTAGAGCATGTTGGATACTCCTGCAGGTGGCCAAAATTGGCGAAAATCTCCTAATTCCGGAGGCCACAGAAAGCCACCCCAGAGACACCAATACGGTATTAACAGTCTTCGAGACTTTCGCATCAAATAATAAGCGAAAAAGGACACTCCACAGCCTTGCTGAAGTCTACCAAGTAGCAACAATAAACCCATGGAGTGACACGGCTATTACCTTCAACGCTAGTGATGAACCTAAATTCCGAACAGCCCGAGCACCAGCCGCATTGGTCCTCAGTCCAATAGTGGATGGCTTTCGCCTTACCAAGGTACTCATGGACGGCGGCAGCAGATTGAACCTCATTTATGAGGAAACCCTTCAAAAAATGTAAATAGACTGGAACCGCATTGAGCGAAGCAACACAACCTTTAGAGGAATAATCCCCAGTCGGGAAGCGCGCTGCACAGGAAAAATCACACTAGATGTGGTGTTCGGCATGCCGAATAATTACAGGTCCGAAGAGGTGACGTTCCATGTGGCTCCGTTCAGCAGCGGTTATCACGCTCTGCTATGGCGGGAAGCGTTTACAATCTTCCAAGAAATACCCCATTACGGGTACATGAAGCTCAAGATGCCCGGGCCTAACGGGATCATCACTCTCGCTAGTGATCCGGACATAGCACTCCGCGCCGAAAACAAGACAGCCGCACTGGCCCTCGAGGCACTATCCGAAGCCCTAGCGGCCGAGGAACTGATTGTGCTGC